CGTACAGTACGCTTTCCCAGAACAAGCGCGACACCTAGCGGCAGCTGAACAAATAAAAAGTCTACAACGACCATCCAATAAACCGTGCAAGCGAGCACAGAGCGGTGACTCAATCCCTACCGACCGACGCAACATGGAACACGGAAGGGACGACAACGATCCCACCGCCTCAACAATCCTCACCCGATGGAGAACGTGGATCTCCCTGCCCTCCTCCTTCCCCCTGTCGTGAAGGCCTTGAGGCACCTTGCCCCCTCCCTCGCTTCATCTTCCACTTGCTGTCTGCACCTCACTTTTTCCAGAAAATGCACACGCCACGGTCCATTCAAAATGTCAGACGTGATGCATCCTGAATGATTCCCCGACGTTTCTGGGACCTTAAAGACATTACGGAATCTTAAATCGCATTCCAGCATCGAACGCAACTACAACCTGTCTTAAAATTAACGCTTTCAATTTAAGAACTGCAGTCAAACTCAGAACAAAAGGAGGAAATCATCCAGAAGAAGCAGTGGTAATTGCAGATAATCACATGATTTTGAAATGTCAAAGGAGGGTACGATTTTTGGGGCCGTTTAAGATTCATGTCATTGGATAGATCTCAAATCCCTAAGCCAATCTTATTGGCTATCTCATTCCATTCTGGAGTTGTGAGCTTCAAATGGTTCAGGACGGCATCCATTCGTGCCGATAGCGTCGTGTCGACGTTGATTGATTTTTCAACGTGGCAATCTTGCTACAACGTTCTGTTAAAGGTTGATTCCGTGCAACCGCAATATTGAAATGTACAAGGCTTATTCGTGTAATTCTCGAACTCATGTTGGTAATCGCCCAATACGACTATGTTGGTAACCCCTGCGGGGAAGGATGATGCAATAGGAGGCCGACATTTCACAGCTGCGTGTACAAGGGGATCCGCCCGCTCAGTCGAGCACTGAACGCGTTCTTGTGAAGGCGTTCAAAGTGTCGTCGTCGTGGAAGATTCCCTTCGAACGAAACAGGGATAACATGGGCACAACCCACAGATTGACAGTACTCGAGCCAGTTCCTGTACGGCGATCCGCCGATTTTCACGAACGACGTCCTGGGCGACCTTATCCGTTGATGTGGATGTTGAGTTACGTGTGTCATCAGCGACAGTGTCCTCCGTAAACCGCTTAAGTTGCTTAAGCATCGCTGTTCGTCCGAGAAATTCGTTTCCGTATGCTTGAATCATGTCTGCAAGTGCTGCCGATGCATTCACACCACGTCGAACACAAAAGCAGAGAACATATCCCTGTTCCATTTGAAAGAAATCTTCCACGACGACGACAGAACACCCTCACAAAAACGCGATCGGTGCTCGACCGAGCGGGCGGATCCCCTTGTACACGCAGCTGTGAAATGTCGGCCTCCTATTGCATCATCCTTCACTGCAGGGTTACCAACTCGGTCGTATTAGGCGATTACCAGCATGAGTTCGAGAATTAAATAAACGAGCCTCGTAGCATGGTTCAACGTTGAAATACGTTGATATAATCATGATCTCGGATCGTTTGAATCATCTGTTAGATCTCTGAGAGTTTGACAGTACTGAAGCGAGTACTACCTTTCCGGGATCGACTCCATGTGAGGCTATAACTTCCTTTGCTGGATCAGGATCCCAGATGAGTTTTTGAGCGAAATACCTGCTTCTGTCCAGCGAAGAACTTACTTGTCCTACTTGCTTTCAATTGGCTCGATTTTTGTGGATACAGTGGTTTGATGCAATTTATTTTCGTAAAAAGTCAGAATGGACTTTTGCGTTTGGCATGAAAAGTGCATTCAAATGAAGTTCCACTCGTCAAAATTGGCGGGGGCCCAATGGTCCATAGTAAAACAGTACCTTTATTTGTTCACTAGACATAAAAGGCACTCCTCAGCATCGCAGAGCAGAGGAGTCCAAAGTCTTGGAGTGAGGGGATGCCTTGTAAGTGAAGATAAAGGTACGGGCCGGATGGCTAGACAATTTTTGAAGCGGATTTTACGAATTAGAAACGCGATAAAAAGGACACAGTATTGCACTTTTACTTAGAGTGTGTAATTTTAATGAACGAATCCAGTCGTGCTTTGGATAACCCTGTAAGGATAAGGTCAAAGGGCAAAGGACAAAGGACAAAGGACAAAAGGACCCCTACTCCACAAACCACCAAACCGTCGCAACACTTCTGACACGACCTACCAACAACCGACACGATCGACACGATCGACACGATCGACATCGACGACATTCGGAAAGCAAGCCGGAAAGCGCCAGCTGGCCGCCCGGAACTCCAAGAGGAAGTGGGCGGAAATCCTCGTGAAATCTTATCAACGCGCGATAGACGCGCTCTGGCCAGGAATGGCTGGGAATGAGATACCAATGTTTTCCTCTTCCACTTCACGATCGATCAGCGAAACTTCTGGCAGAAATGTCATGAAATGTCATCGACTTTGTGATCGACTCCTCGGGAGTCAAAATGAAGAAATGAAAAAGCCTCAGCGCCTGAAACTAACAGACACGGTGGTTTTATCTGCTTGGATGCCAACTGGAAAATCCAACGCTTTAGAGTTTAGATCGAACCCGAGTGGAAAGCAAATTCTCATTTTGAGGGAGACGCAAAAGTCGATTCAAAAGTTGCTTCCAGCCGTTCTTTCTTTCCTGTCGTCTTGCTTGGGTCCATCTCGGGATCTCTAACTCTTATGAAAATGTTTGCTGAGGTATGAATCATATCATATCTGACGTATTCGTGCCAAGCTCTGATAGACATCTTTGGAAGAAGAGCTATAAGCTCTTCCATGAGATCAATAATCGTCTTGCCCACCTCAGCGTCTAACAGACAGAACAGCTACCGAAACTCGTTCGCAAAGGAATGAAGTATCACGAAAATAAACCAAAGATGCGAAATGATGCGGAACATCTTCTACATTACAATAGCTGCCTCTGTAGCCACAATTATACTCTATATGAATCTTTGAAGGATTCTCCAGGAGTCTTATCGAAGATCCTTTCGAAGTCTTCAAGGGAGACGACTTCATTTCTTTATAGTCTGCTTTAAATTATTATTTGCTCTTTCATTTATTTATCTATGTTGACGATGCTGGATTAAAGTAAAAAAAAAAAGTAATTTGTCCAATCTGCTTCGTATAAGCAACAATTCTTACATTTTTGTTCCTCAAGGAGAAACGTAAGATCGATCGTAACTGCGACTACTTTCTTTCATGAGTTCTTGAGGGACAGCTGGAATTTCTCGAAGGAAAAATGATCATCGTTTGCCACGATTGATGAAATAGATCATGTTAAGAGAGCATCACTTGAGAATTGGACTAGTGGAAAGACATATGATAAATTAACTTGCGTAGCAATTCGGTATAACATTTTGCAGAAAAAAAAATTCCCATCAAAAACGGCAGAGAGTAGGAAAATAAGCCCCTCAAATTTATCTCAAAAGAACAGAGATGTTGATGGATCAAAGTGGATTGGTTTCCTCTGCAGGAGATAAGGAGGAACGAGAGGAACTCCACGCGGATCCCTTCCTTGCCCAACATAGAAGGTCGCTCAGAAATTCCTTCTTCGCTTTGTGGAGGGACGTCAGAATCAGGGAGCGAGTTCATTGGTTGCTTCCTCCATCCATTTTCACAGGGATCGATTTCGACATGTACTACGTATGTCCCGCAGGGTGCTCGTGCATGTCAGCTGGGAGGAAGGACCCCCCCCCCCCGGCCTTAGTCACCGCAAAGATCCGTGGCGCTCACTTATCTTCGTCATATATCCTTCATCTTCGTCGCCGAGGGATATACGGCGACGTGGATAATTCTGGTAGGTCGATCGAAAACCGTGCATACCTGCGAACGCAACGCCGCGTGGAATGATACCGGAACGAGACAGATAACGAAAGGGGCGGAGTTTAACGCTCTCTCTCGTGACAAAAGAGCCGTTGGCAAATTTCTAATCCTAATCCTGCATTTTCTACATTTCCTCAGGTCATTCACGGTATCTTCAGATCGCAACGAAGCTCCTAATGAAGCCAAAGGCAGCTCGTAAGACTTGAAATACAGAATGATCCGCAATACTGTGCTCCTTTTGCCAATATTCACGATGACAAAAGAAAATACACACGATAAGGAATCCCTCACTAAACCAAATCATTGCATCGCTTCTCCGTATCAAACCTCAGCTATTCCGTGTGAAGAGGAGGTAATAACGTTAGAATCGAGACTTTTGGCTTTTCCCTCGTATGTTTCTGAATACAATCGCATTTTTGAAAGGATTCTCTGTAAATGAAAATAATAATATAAAAAAAAAACAACCAAGTGAAATAAAAGTAAATAGTCAAATGAAGAAGCCATCAACAGCCAAAAATAATATGAAACCATGAAGCCATCAAGAACATGCATGAAATGTTTAGTACGGACTGAAACGGAGGTGGTGCAGCGAAACGGAAAAGAAAAGCATACTAAAATTAAGTCGTCAGGGAGATAACAAATTATTAATATAAGAGGTAATAAGTGAATGTTCACAGCGGCAACTGTCTGTAAGAGGCAGACAACGTGAATGCCATTCAACTAATCTGAATCATTGCCTAGTACCAAGTATATAGTACCTAATAGTAGTATTCATCCCAGTTATCACTGGTAGCAGAATATCTTTCTCAATGCGGAAGTTACCTCAATGGGAAAGAAACTCGCTTCATCTCAGAAAATGCTAAAATAATAATAAAAAGGGGGGGGGGGGGGGAATGAGGTAGATTCACACGTTCGGATAAAATAATCAATGCCAAAGAAACTCTCGGGGAGTGTTACATTCAACGGAATAGTTATAGGAAAAATAAACAGAGACGAAGAATAAAATATATTAAGAGAAGTCTTAACCTATCGAGAGGAAGCGCTCGAGTGTCACATGATTAAAAGCGCAACTGCATTGCACCCATTCTCGCACCAAGACCAGAAGAGAAATTCCAAGGTCGATGGACATTCTGGAGGTTCTTCATTCGTGCCGCGAATCATCCGTTACCCAGGCGTCGATCTTTGTCGCATTCGTTGCATTTGGATTCCTGCATGGCTTCAATACGCTCCCAGTTCGCATAGATGTGACCATTGGGACACTTGTACCAGAGTCCCTGGCCGAGATGCATGGCCTGTAACGACAGTTCATACCTCAAACGGAGATCCCAACCTGTAGCCCAGAGCTACAATTAGACCTATCTCTACCTGCAAAATCATGATTCGTTCGTGATTCGAGATGTCCGACTCTCCACAGATGCGAGATGCAGCATCCAACTCCCTGCGAACCGCTTCATTCATGGCATCCGTGAACGTTTCTAGACTGAGAAGCGGGGCCTCTGCTTTCCGAATGTGTTCCGTGGCTTCGTGGTTTGCCGTCTCTTTCTTTAAACAACAAAGAATTCTCTTCATCTCTTGGACTTATGGTGTCTCTCCAAATGCCTTTCAGTTTTGCGTCGCTTCGTCAAGTCAATGAGTCTCATGCAATTTCCCTCCGATTCAAGACTTTCGATACATACTATATATTTCAACCATCACTAGATTAAGACTGAAACCGATTCATTTAGGATTCTTCGCGAATGAAACTGAATGTGAAGATCTTTGCCATCACCTGGAGCTTCCAGTAGAGACCGAAGAGCTGCAGACGCGCGACCTCCCCCGCGAGGGCCTTCAGTTCCCAGTCGTTCCATCCCCTCGTCCTCGACAACGCCCGATCCGCGATCTGAGAATAACCATGGGATTCGAATGTGAGACACGTATTCAGTACGTATTTGAGGCAAAATCCGTTTGACAGACCGTCTTTGCTCTTCGAACGAGTCGAGCCTGGATAGCGTCCCCATGACCCTGCACTGCAGCATCCAACTTCCTCAAAACTTTCTTCTGGTTCTCGAAGAGTACCAACTCGAACTGATTTATCATAATTGGAGCATCAGAGACGTTCCGGAACTTTTCGATCTGCTCGACCTTACTCTTTGCGCTGGTTTGGAGTGCCTGGAATTCCGTTTGCAGATGGTCACTTTCGCCTGGGAAAAATAGTCAACTTGTTTTTTAAATTTCTGATTAATTATCATCCAATACCAAATGCTAACTACAAATTCCTAATCAAATGCCGAATGATAATATTTCATTAGTAAAAATACAGTAATTCCAGAGTCAAAATCATTAAAAAAATTGAGAATTGAGACAATGGACTTTTTAAAATGAGTGATTTCTTCACTATGTCTTATTTTACCTGCAAAGGGGATGAATAATGTAGAACGAATTGACGGAAGCACTTCATTCATATTTGCAGCATATCAGCTTAGATAAGCGCATGAAGCCGGCTGGTGTTGACTTTTCTTCGCAGCACGATGTGGAAATGCCCAGCTCTTCACTTTCGCGCCCGAACCTGCCTTGAGAATTGCGTTGTCAAACGACCGCAGCTGTTGCACGGGAATTTCAGGGATCGCACCTTCGATGTTTGCCTTCAACGCAAGTACGGTATGAGTCAAATATCTGGAATCAATGAGGAATGTTGAAGGTGCCCTAGGTGGCCGTTATTCATTATGATTCACGGTTCAAACCGGCGCAACCACTCGTCCTTTGTCAGTTCCATATTGCTGCCAACAGAAATAAATCAAATTTCTAAGGATAAATAAATAATTATGGTAATAATAAATTTACTATTGATTCCAGACATTTGACTCATGCTATAGATTCGCTCATACTACCCTTTTTGTAACAGGCAGATACATAGGGCGCGTACGAGAAAGGGCAGCCCAAATCGTTCTCAAGATCATTCATGTTAACATTTATGCAAAGTTGTATAGTTCTCTGTCAATTACATATTTTGTTATGATTCTTTCCAGAGCAGACTTTATTCACACTGTAGTATACGTAACCTTTACGAAGGAAATTCTCCCTAGCAAGTTGAATACAATATAAGTTTGACAATTCTGGGGACCAAACCGTCCATAGAATAATTACCTTCAAAGCCATTTGTTCCAGTTATACACCTGTAAATAGGTGTAGTGGAAGCCTCAGAGATTGTTTTATTATACTAGTAGTATAATACTAGTATTATACTAGGAAAACTCAGTTTCGAACTCACTTAGCTGCACCAAGTCTTGGAATGACTTGAGGAAGTCATCCTTGTACTGCCAAAGGTCACCGAAGACCTTTTCCTTCACTGCGGCAATATCTTGGTAAAGCTGTCGAATGATGTTCCCGTACCGCACCGACGACCAGATGACCTTGCCACAGCGGGGACATTTCTTCATCTCGATCTCTTCCATTTCCATCTTCATGTATTGATCCATTTCCTCCACTTCGATGCAGTGCCCGCAGTCTGGCAGATAGACGAACCTGGGATCTTGGTCGGTTTCGTTCCTGCAGATCTGGATCTCAGCTAGTTCTTCTGGATTGCAGATTCTGCATATCGGAGGGCATGGTTCTCCGCAGATACCGATGCACGGGTGTTTGCATTTCTTAATCTTCTTTGGACAGGGCTGGTTGCATGGTTCCCGGTCACACATTTCGAGGCACATTTTTGTGCATTTCAACTTCCGAGGGCAGTTCTTCTGGCACTGCCAGGCGCAAAGTTCCTTAATGATGACAAAAAGGTGGTTTCAACCTTGATTATTTCAGAATGAGAAATGAAAGGGGAGAGTGATGGATGGAAGACCTGGCAAGAAAAGCAAGGCTCCCAGCACTTGTTGGGGCAGCGGCGATGCGCGCATTTTTTCCCGCATTTTCTGGCGCAGGGAGGACAGGATTGGGAACACTTGCTCAAGCATCTGGTTGAAAGAAATGGATTTTAATCAGATGTGCACTCTTGCCAATAACGACTGCATCGTACGAAATAGAGATTTAAAAAAATCCAAGCTACTGTAATATCAATATACAATGTAGGAGATATGTCATTTGCATGCTTATTACAAGCTTTCCCAGAAAAAAATTCCATTCCGATGTTAAAACTTCGTAAGGTCGCAGTAAGTACCACTCTGTTTTTTTTCCCCTGTACTCGTCCCTCAAAAATTACTCAAAGAACGACATCAACTTGATATAATTTGCCTTACCTCGTCACCCTGAGAAATAACTCCTACCGAGTTGAGCTGTATTGAATCAATTGCAATACAGCTCAACTCGGTAGGAGTTATGACTTGCTGACTGACGTCGCTACAACAGGCCAGTGTGGTGCGACCCCGTCCTCCGTTCTTCTGACCCGATTCGGATGCGGACAGAATTTTCCAGTCATTCGTTGAATTATGTTTGTTTTTTTTTTAGCTCAGAATATGCCATTACTGTAATTATAGGGAGATAGTAAAATCGACTCGGAAATCGACATTTCATTGGATTATATGACATAATGAAACTCCTTCGACTTTTTTTGCCAGAGCACTTCAGGAGTACTTCATACTTTCGTAAGTTTCCAGCATTTCTTAGTGACGAGATGAGATAAATTCAAAGAATGGATCGCCTTGAATCCCTAGAAGTTCCACGAAAGTCCTCAAGTGCTCATTTTTTTAGTCGGACGACGACAACTGATCTCATCGGCTTATCTTATCGAACAATGAATAAGATTTCTGTTAACTAACGCATGTCCACAGAGAAGAGGCCGGCCGCACGGTTCACTGCATTCCTGGTGGAGTCTGCCTCCCAGGCATTTCCCGCACTTCCCCTTGCAGGCGTGCTTGCAGCCTGGAAGAACCATTGAGCACCGAGCATCGCAGAAATCCATCAGCTCCTCTGGATCCATTTTCGCTTCGGAATTACAGCATGGGACTTTCGGTTTGTGGTCACAACTGGAAAAGGTGTCGTGCCATCAGCCAGAATTGAGAAAATAAGAAAAAAATACGTATTCTTTTATACTCACGCGGACTGAATATCCCCACGATACGGGACGAGGACCTGGCAATCTATTGTGCAAACGTCTCCACATAGGTTTTTACAAGTATGACCGCAAGGAAGTTTCCTTTTACACGATTCTGTGCAGGCACCTTCACTCGGAAGTGACGAGCATTCCGCATGAATTTTGTGGCCACAGTCGAGGATGATCTTCTCAACAAAATAACGGCATTCCCCACACGCCTCACTGCACTTGAGACGACACGGGTGGCCACAGGGCAGAGTCCTAGAGCATTTCTGCATGCATACATAATCATCGACATCCATATAGCAACGAAGCTTCTCCGAATGTCCGCAAGGCAGGACACGATCTATGATCTCCATGCAAGGAGGACAAATTATACCGCATTTCTCTGTGCACTTGTGGCCATCTTTGCACAATCTCTTGCAAGCTTTCTCGCAGAAGCGCTCGATGTGATATGGATCATCCGAAACGTGACACTTCCGACCACACTTATGCCCGCATTTCAAACGGGTAGGGCAGCGGGTTTTGCACTTCTCTCCAGCCGGATCGAGATGGCACGCCATCTCTTTGGAATGCCCGCATGCCATCTTTTTCAAGGTAGTCACCATGCACTGCAATATGACGTGCTCTCGATCAAACGAATGGCAAGGTATCAAGCAAGGGTGTCCACAGGGCATTTTCTCTCCGCACGGCATGTTACAACCTCCTCCAACAGGGAAGTGGGAGGGGTGAGATGCCTTCATGATATGTTGCTTGTGGACGGGGCATTGGAGTTCCAACTCGGGTCCGATTGCTTTCTGTTTCTTCAAAACTTTCTCAATTTTCTTCCAAATCGTGGAGCCGTTGCGGAGAGAATCCATGTTTCCTACCATGTACAATCCCCATTTTGCCCTGGACAGGGCCACGCAGACGCGATTCTTTATCTTCAGAAACCCAATTTTTGCCGCTTCGTTACTCCTGACCAGCGAAAGCAAAATGATCTTGTTCTCCTCACCTTGGTAGCTGTCCACAACAGAGCACGGAACTTCCTTGCAGTCCTCGTATTGGGCCTCTTGTAGCAGCTAAAAAAAGAGCGAAAAATGAGCCAAACCTTTTCTCGCAATTCTGAGCAGATTCAATTCTTAGGAGACGCAAAAGAGGTTTACCTCCTGAAAAACGAAATGCTGACCGCTGTAGGTGGCAAGTATTGTTATGTCATGAGGAGAGTAGCAACCCTGGCGAAGGAGTCTCTGACAAAGCGCCAGGATGAATTCCGCTTCAAAGTAGTTCTTCCGACTGCGCAAGTCCGATTCCTGTGAAACAACATTGCAAAATTATATCGAAAGGTACCTGTCACAGACCATTGGAAATAGATGAGAGGAGCTCACTTCAGCTTCCGCATACGCATGTGTGAGGAAGAACAGATTCCCTGTCATCCCCGATATAGGCGGATAACTCCATACAGAATCATGATCTATGAGGTCAGGATAGATGTGTGGAGTGACGAGACTGCTGATGGACGGATGCATCCGATGCTGGATTCTCAGCCGCTTCAACTGAATTCCGTTGTTCACTGCACGCTCAAACATACTCACGTCCAGATGATATTTCCGGGCTAGCTGATACACTGTTGGATTCGGTCTCAGCTGCTGATGGTCCCCTATTAGAAAAGTTACACGGTACCGTCTATAATTTTTTCTTCATATTTTTAACAATTCATGCATCTCAATTAGTGATGTGTTACGTTTAAAAACGTTTAGAAGCCTGACAAAGTCCACGTCGCACAGAAACATTAGGAGGAGGAAATACGATCCCAAATAAACATAATACTTTTTATTCCTCACACACCTGACTACCTTGTACTAGGTCAACATCAAAACATAAAATGCTATATTTTTCATATTCACCAAATCGTGTTCCTATTGAAACGGTTGCTTTATCTGACTTGTGACTGAGACATTAGGGTCAAAGTTAGAAAATAGTTTTAAAAAATAGCAAAATAAGCTAAAATTTAATTAAACATTAGCATTATGATGATTCACACCTGAAACATTCTTCATAAACTTTGAAGCACAATCCTAGGAAATGTAATAAGGACAGGAAACGAACACTTCTGCACACAACCCGACACGACCGTAGCGCGACTTAGCATACCACATACCAAATCGTACGGAGTCGTACATCAATACTTAACTCTACCGTACGTACCGATCAATATGAGCTGTTGGCAGGAACGTGGAAGGGATGTTGCAATGTGAGCTTCAAAAACTTCGGCAGCCTCTTCCACAATTACTAGATGGGAAAATGTAATAATGCAGGTTATCAATTGATGGAATGTCTGCGTAAGACACAGACAATTATCTTATAAATACACAGCCGATATTTCAAGCGATAACGAAGATGAGGTAACCCACTGATTCTGCTGTGAAGGTTTTGAAGAAATGCCTGATTTCTGGCAGCCCCAGAAGTGGTCATTCCGATAACCTTAGCCCCTTTTACCGCATCCAACTGAGTAAAAACAAGCAAATCCTTGAGTTCTTCGGTGACTTTCGCATACGACTTGGATTTCTCCCTCAACTCATCTTGAATCCAGACGAGGGCCTGCCCGTGCCAAAAGGCCAATAGCTCTAAACACTGATGGAGGCTCAATTGCTGAAGGATATGTACGTTGAGGCTGCCGTTATGGAGGATCTTCGGCTTTGGGGGGATCCTTTGAGGATCCACCTTCAACAAGGGTTGAATGTCGTGGAAAAACTCCAGCCTTTCGCATGATGTGGTGTGATTTTGTTTGACTCTGTTTCGTATTTCCTCATCCTCGTCGTTCTGGTAAGAATCAAGAAGGGATGCAGCATTCTTCATATCATCAGATAATTTCTTTTTCCGCATTTCTAGCCTGACTTCGACGTATGACTGTGTCACTTCAGGGGTCTCATTGTCATCACCGATTGCTGTTTCAAGTTCAAAGTCGTCAGGGCGTTCAAACGCCTGGGCGTCCCCAATCTCGTCTTGTTCTTCAGGCCGCTCCTCTTTCTGCAACTTCAGCAGTCTTGCTATGATTTTCTGGGGAGAAGCTGTAGAGTCCTGCTTTGGAAACTCTCGATCTATGGCTTCCCGCACTCGCCGACTTTCAACGAAAAGGTTTGATCCTTGCTCGACGAATGCATTTAGCCAATTCCAGAATAGTCGTATATGGCGATAAGTGGAATCATCGATGATCCCCATTTCATTCAGGCTATCTGGAGAGACCAATCCGGAGCCTTCCTGGAGAATGAGAAGATTCTCCTCATAATGTTTTATTTGTTTCTTGATGAGATCCCTCTTCGTGAAGTGCTTCCATTTTATTGCTGAAACAAGATTTTTGCCTTGCTTCTTTCGCCGATTTTTCTCTAACCATTTTCTCATGAGGAACTCTTCCATGAAAGGAGACTTTGAACGGGACCCGATGCGAACAATGTCCTTCGTGAACTGCATGATACCCTCGAGGAACTGATCCAGGGCATGATTTGTATAGCAGATGGCAAGGATGGGGCCGATTCGCCTCGTCATATAATTTTTGAGCAGGGTTTCGACCACTTTCAACCCGATGAACGTCTTCCCCGTCCCAGGGGGGCCTTGAATCACGGCGAACTCTCGAGTGAGGGCGCTCCTTAATGCTTCCAATTGTGAATCGTCGAGGCCAAAAGCTAATGCAGGAGGCCAATCAGCTTCGTCGAGACGGACCAAACCCAGGTAAGGATTGATGAAGGAGAAATCGTAATAATCTGGCAGAAATTCGGGCATGGCATCCTTCACCCTCCCATACACAATGTAATCGGTGAGGGGGAAAATGTCTTCGTGCCGCCTCTGAAGACAGCGGAGGACGTGGCGGTATGCCTCGAAGAATGCTGATAATGACTCCACAATGATCTTTTCCCCGTACATCCATGCTGCGAGGTCGTGTGTATCACTCTCTGGGCAGACGGTGAGGAAGCCTTTCTGCAACTCCTCGGGGTCTCTATTCGATACGGTCCCAAAGATGAGACGGTTGAAGTTAAGATCCGCAAAGCAGAGGAGAGACCCCGTTCTTAACCTCTTGGTGATGTCCCATTTCACTTCTGAGAATCGGGAGACGTCAAACTTGAATTTGAGGTGGAACCCGAATTGGTTGGGAGCCATGCACTGGAATCTTACTCCGGTGTAGACATAAATATCTTGATTTTTGACGAGCGGATTTTCCTGTCCATCGCTAGTGCATTCCTGGAAAGCATTTCGCAGAGGTGCAACAAAATCTTCCCTCAAAAGGCGGAACTGGATGTCTAGGTAATGCTCGACGTTCGCATAAGCTCCTCTCGTGATGTTGGGTCGAAGAAAGGGAATTTCAGGGTGCAACATCTCTTCAGAAGTGGGAATGACAGGAATGCGGCGGAAGTTGTCCGGAGGCGCCTCTATATGAAAGCGATTCACCCATTCTAATCTTCCACTGGAGCTGAGAGCATGAGACGATCCCCCTTGCTCTGGGTCCTCAGCGGCAGCTTCAGCCGAGGCGAGAAGTCCGACGTACTTCCCATCCAACTTCTCCACGTCGAAGCCGTAGAACTGGAGTTGAAATAGGTAGTGCCTGCAGGCGTGAATGAGTTCCACCACTTTCGTGCCAGAGACGCCTGGATGCTTCACGACAAGTGCCCTTAGTATCATAAAGAGCTGCTCCAACACCATGTATCCCTTGACGTTTCTGGAAATGTCACGTTGAAGTTCAAACAGAACCGTGGACGAGCAGGCTTCCAGGAATTCACTCTGTATCAGCATGGCGAGAGATGCTTGGACCAGACTGTCACATCCTTCTACACCAGACACTTTCGCGAACACTTCCACGATGAGGATCACCCATTTCACCTTTTGGAAGGTGTCTGAGCGAGAAAGAAGTCTCTGAAAGCTATCGTTGGGATCCATGACTGCCATCACGACTTCCGGAGGAGACAATTTAGTAGCAATCTCATGCAGTCGCTTGGATCCAATATATGATTTTGCGTCTCTATAGCGTGCTCCAGCTGCTTGGCCAGTAGTCCTTCGCCCTCTGAAGCCGAATTGGGTTCTTATTGGCATCCTCGCCCCCACTCCACCTAGTAAAGAATTCATTGGGCTGATATTTTTTCACGGAGAAAATATTGCGTATCTTTAGAGCAGAGATGAGACAGGCAGGAGTCATTTCCGAAGCAGGCTTGCATAGTCAGCCACCTTTGCAGTCAGTATCGTAAAACACAGCACTGGCAGTACAGAAAATTACTTTGGATATGCACTGCATTATTCAGTACACAATAGAGGCTTTCACTCATCTCAGTACAAGCCTGTCTCTCGCAGGAATCTATGTCAGGAAAAGTTCTGAGAGAACTGGGGTATAAACCGGTGAAAAGGGGAACATGGAATACTCCCAAAAAAAGATATAAAAAAAGGATTTCATGAAGACCCCTGAAAATGGGGCCATGAACCTGTGCGATAGCCGAGATTCACACTTGAGACCGCAGCGCACTAGGCCTCTTCATTACGAGCGCGCCCTCTAGTGGCAGCCTCAACCAATGAAAAGTACGCACACGTGAACACTATGACCATCTTCATCATAAGTTCTAGACCACGCATACTCGCACGACAGAATCGCGACAGCGTAACAATGGCGACTCGGCCCCAACCGACGGTTTCTGAGTTCAGCTTCCCCTACGAGTCATGACAGGGATGCCGCGTGGATTCCTCACCCAATGGAGAATGTGGATCTCCCTTCCCTCTGCACCCTCCTTCCCTCAGATGCGAAGGCCTCGAAGCACCTTGCCCTGTCCCTCGCTTCATCTTCCGCTCGCGATCCGCACCTCACTTTTTTCAAGGAATGCACGCGTCGCAGTCCAATTAATCCGTCGCACGGGATACATTCCGTAAACAGTCTCTTCGGCAACACTTCTGAAATCTGGGACTTGAAATCTTCGACGTTGCTGGGGCATCCAAGTAAAAAACATAACTGACACTTGGGATTCCACTAACATCGAACGGAAAACCACCGTGTCTTAAAAATTGTAAATTCAGGGTGGATTTTTTAACAGAACTATCCGACAATGGAAATATCTCCTGAAATATGTATTTTTCCAGGAACAAAGCTGAATTATCGGATAGTTCTCTGTTCAAAAATCCACCTTAAGAATAGTAGTCAGACTCAGGACAAAAGGAAAAAATAACCAGCGGAGACACTCATACATTTTATTTTTATTACAGACTATCAAATGGGGATTTTGATACGATAAATATGCTCGCGAAAAGAACAGTTACCGAAGCAAATTTCTCCTTCCCTAGCACTCCACACTTTGAGAAATGCCGCATCAGTGGACGACCGGAGAATAATTGAACATGTCTTTCATTTACTTGGATGCAAGCGCACAACGCAACGGATCCGTCCGTAATTTGGAAGTCGCAGAAGTACAGCGGACTTCGAGAAGGAGCTGATAGCTCATTCTCGGCGCGACTCAATCTTGCATAGAGATCTCATCTATTTAAAGGGCCCCCCCACAGGAACAAAGGACGCGGGAGGACGAGGAAAGATACGCAGAAAATTTCCCTTTGGAAATTCCGAGTCCATGGACTCCACAAAAGGCAGTGCACTGGTGACACCACCCGCAGAATCCTCGCAAATCGCCACTAATCGCGACACCGACGACATCCGCAAAAGAATTCGCGAAAGAATTAGCGAAAGAATTCGCGAAAGCACAGGCTGGAAAGCGTCAGCTGGTCGTCTAGAAGGCCGAGAAGTAGAAGGAGGAAATTCTCGTCAAATCTTATCAGAATACGATAGACGCTTTGACGAGGAAAAAAAAAGAAGAGATATCAATGTTTTCCTCTTCTGGATTGATCGACGAAACTTTTCCCAAATATTTCGTTGACCTTGTTGCTCTCAGGGGAACAACGTTAGGGGGGGGGGGGACTTCGGGACCACTCTGAACGGAAAAGCTTCCCTTCGGTCTTTTTATTATTCCTGTAATAATCCGCCAGCATGTTCCGAGCATATATAAAAGCTCCGAGTCTGGCACATCCAGAGAC